AGGCACGCAAACATTCATACCAAAACAGAGATGCAGGACCAGAAAACAGGATTGGTTCGACAGAAATTGTGAGAGGGCAAGAGACCAAAAGACACAAAAATGGAATCAGTATAGGAAGAGGCCAAACCCCCAAACATACCAGCGATACAAAGATGCGAGAAACAACTATACAGCAGTAAGGAGAGAGGCAGAAAGAAATTTTGAAAAAGGGATAGCAGATAAATGTAAAACAGAACCGGGCCTATTCTACAAATTCATAAACAACAAATTGCAGGTAAAGGATAATATTCAGAGGTTGAAAATGGGAAATAGATTCACGGAAGATGAAAAGGAAATGTGTGAAACACTAAACGAAAAGTTCCAAAGTGTGTTTGTACAAAATGAAATCTTTAGGGAACCAGATACAATAAGAATTCCAGAGAACAACATAGAACACATAGAGGTGTCTAGAGACGAAGTGGAAAAAATGCTCAAGGAGCTCGGTAAGAACAAAGCAGCTGGCCCAGATGGCGTTTCACCATGGGTTCTGAGAGAATGTGCATCTGAGCTCAGCATTCCACTTCACCTGATCTTTCAGGCATCCCTGTGTACAGGAATCGTAGCAGACGGGTGGAAACAGGCTAACATAGTTCCAATCTACAAAAGTGGCAGCAGGGAAGACCCCCTCAATTATAGACCTGTATCATTGACAAGTGTAATAGTGAAAGTATTGGAAAAACTAATCAAAACTAAATGGGTAGAACACCTAGAGAGAAATGATATAATATCAGACAGACAGTATGGTTTTCGATCTGGAAGATCCTGTGTATCGAATTTACTCAGTTTCTATGATCGAGCCACAGAGATATTACAGGAAAGAGATGGTTGGGTTGACTGCATCTATCTGGACCTAAAAAGGCTTTCGACAGAGTTCCACATAAGAGGTTGTTCTGGAAACTGGAAAATATTGGAGGGGTGACAGGTAAGCTTCTATCATGGATGAAAAATTTTCTGACTGATAGAAAAATGAGGGCAGTAATCAGAGGCAATGTATCGGAATGGAGAAATGTCACAAGTGGAGTACCACAGGGTTCAGTTCTTGCACCAGTGATGTTTATTGTGTACATAAATGATCTACCAGTTGGTATACAGAATTATATGAACATGTTTGCTGATGATGCTAAGATAATAGGAAGGATAAGAAATTTAGATGACTGTCATGCCCTTCAAGAAGACCTGGACAAAATAAGTATATGGAGCACCACTTGGCAAATGGAATTTAATGTTAATAAATGTCATGTTATGGAATGTGGAATAGGAGAACATAGACCCCACACAACCTATATATTATGTGAGAAATCTTTAAAGAATTCTGATAAAGAAAGAGATCTAGGAGTGGTTCTAGATAGAAAACTATCACCTGAGGACCACATAAAGAATATTGTGCAAGGAGCCTATGCTATGCTTTCTAACTTCAGAATTGCATTTAAATACATGGATGGCGATATACTAAAGAAATTGTTCATGACTTTTGTTAGGCCAAAGCTAGAATATGCAGTTGTTGTGTGGTGCCCATATCTTAAGAAGCACATCAACAAGCTGGAAAAGGTGCAAAGACATGCTACGAAGTGGCTCCCAGAACTGAAGGGCAAGAGCTACGAGGAGAGGTTGGAAGCATTAAACATGCCAAAACTAGAAGACAGAAGAAAAAGAGGTGATATGATCACTACGTACAAAATAGTAACAGGAATTGATAAAATCGACAGGGAAGACTTCCTGAGACCTGGAATTTCAAGAACAAGAGGTCATAGATTTAAACTAGCTAAACACAGATGCCGAAGAAATATAAGAAAATTCACCTTCGCAAATAGAGTGGTAGACGGTTGGAACAAGTTAAGTGAGAAGGTGGTGGAGGCCAAGACCGTCAGTAGTTTCAAAGCGTTATATGACAAAGAGTGCTGGGAAGACGGGACACCACGAGCGTAGCTCTCATCCTGTAACTACACTTAGGTAATTACACTTAGGTAATTACACACACACACACACACACACACACATTAAAAAAAAAATAGTAATATTACTATGCAACTCCTTAGGCTGCTATCAACTGATAACACTCCAACATTTCCCTAAGTCTTCATCCTATAACCGTACTAGATTGCTGCTCACTCCTCAGTTCACAACCTATTGCATTCTTCACTGCTTTGGACTGAAATACAGGGTACAAAAATATTCATATACATCCTACTTTAAAATAAACATGAACCCCTAACCTTGCACTGAACCTTTCACGCCAAAAAACGCAACCAAGCACTCCCTTAAACCTCAAAATGTCCGGTCCTCTGTTCTATTCCTCGAGGTCCACTATCAAATACATCTGTCTGGGTCCTCAAAATCAGGTTAGGTACTCCATACAGTTCCTCCAATCTGCTGCATCTGAAGTCCTCGAATGTCAATGAAGCTCTCTCACACGGCTTCGCGCAAAGGACGTGTAGCACTCTACACTACTTGAAGATTCACTATGTCACTGGAGTTCCACTCCGCAACTCCTGCATCACCTTGCAGTTCAGCTTATACTCCTCCTCCGGTATGAAGTTCTCTCACTAACTTCTCCCACACAAACGTTGCAGTTCTCCCACACAAACATTGCAGTTCTCCCACACAAACGTTGCAGTTCTCCCACACAAACGTTGCAGTTCTCCCACACAAGCGTTGTAGTTCTCTCACACAAACGTTGCAGTTCTCTCACACAAACGTTGCAGTTCTCTCTCACAAACGTTGCAGTTCTCTCACACAAACGTTGCAGTTCTCCCACACAAACATTGCAGTTCTCCCACACAAACGTTGCAGTTCTCCCACACAAACGGTGCAGTTCTCTCACACAAACGTTGCAGTTCTCCCACACAAACGTTGCAGTTCTCCCACACAAACGTTGCAGTTCTCCCACACAAACGTTGCAGTTCTCCCACACAAACGTTGCAGTTCTCCCACACAAACGTTGCAGTTCTCCCACACAAACGTTGCAGTTCTCCCACACAAACGTTGCAGTTCTCCCACACAAACGTTGCAGTTCTCCCACACAAACGTTGCAGTTCTCCCACACAAACGTTGCAGTTCTCCCACACAAACGTTGCAGTTCTCCCACACAAACGTTGCAGTTCTCCCACACAAACGGTGTAGTTCTCTCACACAAACGTTGCAGTTCTCTCACACAAACGTTGCAGTTCTCTCACACAAACGTTGCAGTTCTCCAACACAAACGTTGCAGTTCTCTCACACAAACGTTGCAGTTCTCCAACACAAACGTTGCAGTTCTCTCTCACAAACGTTGCAGTTCTCTCACACAAACGTTGCAGTTCTCCAACACAAACCTGCAAATTCATCATCATGCCATAATAAAGGTTTTTAAATATTTTCCTAACAAAACATAATTATATGTATTCACAGAAAATAAACTCCTCTACCCGACATCTCTTTAACCCTTAAATTGCGCATGGCGTATTTATATGCCCTAAGTAACATATCCCACCGTGCGCATGGCATATATATACGTCATTAGGTGCTGGGCATGATTCAAATGGCCGCGGCTACACAGGGTTCACATTAGCCTCCTCAGGGCTCATGTAAATAGACGCCATGTTAAAAAAAATCGTGGGCAATATTCCCCGGTGTGAGAGCCACAGTACCATGGGAGCAACCAAGGCTGGCTCACGCAACATGAGCTAACAGCATTGCTGTTCAGCTTGTGACCACAGCATCGCCTAAAAGGTCAAAATAAATATGTAACTGCTATTGTTTAGCGATGACAGTATTACAGATGACTCCTGACTGTGATAAAATTACCAGGATTGTGATAATAGCAGGATTGTTGTGATAATTAATGCTATGTGGTAGGAGTAATGCTGAGGGAGGGAGGGAAGGAGGGAGAGAGTGTCGTTTACTGACTGTGTGGCCACCTGTTATTGTCTGCATTCACCATACCAGCTCAGTGGTTCTCTATGGTGAACACAAATGTAGATACTTATATATAATGTGTGTATTAGTGTAATAACAGCAAAAGGATTATGTTGAGAGGAGCCATTTGGGTTTCGGAGGTGGCATCGTCTGCATGAATTGTCTAGCTGTGTAGAGGGTGGCTGCTATGCTCTTTGGGCACCCTACAAGCTTAAGTGTACAGTTACTGTGCATACAACATGTAGATACTTTTATATAATGTGTGTATATAGTTTAATAACACTACAAACAGTATTGTTGGGGGAGAAATTTTAGTGCGTCTGACCTTGAATGTGTGAGGGAGGCAGCAGCCAGCTGACTGTGTGTAGCGACGTCTCTTAGTGCCTAAACTAACTATAGCAGCTTAGTTGTACAGTTGTGGTGAACAAAACATGTAGATACTTATATTTAATGTCTGTACATAGTGAAGAATATAAAAAACAGGATGGTGGGAGGAGAATGTGGGAGAGTGAAATGATGATGTTGAGGGAGGGAGTGGTGGAGAGTGGCTGACTGATGTGTGGCGGTCACTCCTTGCTGTTGTTTGACTCAAAATACCAACTTAGTGGTTTGTTATGGTGAACAAAACATGCAGATACTTATATATAACCTGTGTATAGAGTGTAATAACAGCAAAATTATTTGTTTATTGGTTTATGAACATAATAATTGAATTACTAATATGCACACCATACTCTTGGGTATAGCCATGATTCACCCATTTTATTATATAAATATATCCACACTACACACTATTTAATAATACTGCAAAAAAAAAAAAAGAAAAAATCAGAGACATTGAAATAATTAGGTAATAATATCTTTGTGGCAACTTCCACCTGACAGCTTGGGTGACGCTGACCGCCACTGACAACTGCTCTGTCAACGCTCACATTTTGCCAGACTTCCTCGACCTATTGTGGCCAAAATATGTCGCCTATGATTTTTTTCCCCCATGCTCAGGGAACACAAATTAACATTTTTAGAAGATGAAAAAGTTTTTTAGATTTTTTTATTCTTGCACACAGGGGTGTAAATCTCCTCAGGACCCCTTAGCAGCTTAAGGGTTAAACAATATGGCATCACTGCAAGGTGGATCCTCCCCCATCCTGGATGGGTCCACATAGGAACATGTCTTGATGCGTCGCTGGGGGCCTCCTTCCGTCACTGGGGCTGCTGTCCCTCAGTCGCTCACCAAACACGGGAGAGTGAGGTATGCTGCTATTGCCTCCAGCATATCCACTCAACTTAAATTTCCTATTTCAGCTTAGTGTCTCAATAAAATTTCTACCCTATATATACAAAAGATACATATGTTCACTATGATTGCTGAGCACATGATCAAACACTGGTTGCTAATCTAACAAACTATTAAACAGGCTTACTGCAGGGATATATGACGTAGGGGATCTCGAGCCCTGGTCCTCAACAATGGCGCTCACTCAGGCCGCCCCCAAAAAACGCTATAGGACTGCTTCACAAGGCTTCTTCAAGTCCTGACTTGAGTACACGGAGTCGCCCAGCAGGCTTCACAACAGAAACGCCTGCTTGCTTCCTTCCTTTTGAAGAAGAACGCAATTAGAGTTCCACAACGGCTCGACAGACACACACTTCCAGGTCGTTTCTAATTTATCAAAATCAGAGAGAAATGGTGCACAAAGTCCCCAACAGCTTCCACACACTTGGAAACAAGCAGCCTTCACTCCACCACTAACACAGGGAACTATATTCTTCCTTCTTCCAGGAGAATCGACAAAGTACAACCCGTCTCTGACGACTGCCGTAGCTCAAGTGAGGTCACGACCTCCTGCTAGTAAATGATCATCCGCTGCTTATATTTTTAAATTATTCACTGATGATTATTATATATTTAATGTATACCTCTTTCCTCTGACTTCTCAATCAGGTCTGAAAGGCAGAATAACTCTCACTGGGGTACACTCATTCCACCCCAGGCTCCACGGGGTCATAACAGTACCCATTCAAAATGCACGTGCTGTAGTTTGTGTACGGAATGGAGTTTTGGGACCTCCAGTGACAGGCAGCCATCTTGGAAAAAATTCCCAGAATGTCCAAGGGCTGCTGGCCGGCTTAGTTCCCAGTGAGCAACCGTGCATGCACCATGGTTTGGGAGCCATGGTGCACGTACCTCTGGCTCCCAAACACCTGTCCGATACAGTGTTGAAATATCGTTCTCTGTCGGTGAAATTCAGACCTTATTGAAGAACATAAGGGTCATGATATTGATGAAGCTAGGCACAATAAGGACCTAACACAAGGGTCAGATGCAAGTGATAAAGCATCGATGAGGATGATACAACGAGCGTATCCAGAAGTAGCTGAGCGCCACCCATGACCATCCTGTGTTATCTCCAATTTTTATAGACGATACATAGATGAATCATTTTCTGGGTTCAGTGATGATGCATCTGATAAAAGTAGCATAGATGAACAGTGTTAGCAGCTTCCATGGTGGTGGTTTCCATAGATCTTTTCAAGAATAGCTGAATCTCTTTCAGAATAGCTTAATCTCTTCCAGAATACCTTACAACGCGATCTTTTCAAGACTACCTTACAAATTGATCTTTCCCTATAATCTTTTCAAGACTACAGTACCTTACACTTCACAAGCTTGGCTACATAACACCTACAGGTACTGAAGCCAAGGGTGTACGTGAGTGCATTATTTGCAAGCACATAGAACGAAGAAACAGGAAGTGAAAATCTGTTGTACCTGGTGGAACGAGAGCGAAGTCACCATGTGTACCATGGACTGATTCGTTGATTATCACTCGCTTCCAAAGTACTGAGTGTATAATACAGTATGTTACTGTGTAAATAGTTTGTGAAATTGTACATACAATATTGTAATTTTAGTGAATTTTTAACAAGTAATATTGCGACAATAAACATTTATTGTGGAGACATTTCTGACACATGTATCACAGTTCCATGGAACATTATGAACGTTCTACTGTATACATATCTTAAATGACACAAACGTGCATCATGTACGATAAAAAACTAATTATAACGCATTGAAAATACATAGACAAACTAATTGTAAATATATTGGTGGCAACTCGCAAGGCAGGTTGAGTGACCCGCGTGACCACATCTGAGGGCTTCATGCACGAGTGACCAGCCCGTGATGACGTCCCCACAGCCAAAGTAAGTAGAATTTGATAATTTTTTTACATGTACAGTACATGTTTAGAGAAGGGAATTTATCATTTTACAAATAATTTTTTTTTCTAATACAGTACAACCTCGATTCAACATACCCTGATTCAACGATCTCTCGCTAGTTCGCACACTTTTTAGGCCGGATTTACTCACCTGGTTTGCCGAACAATGGTTCGTCGAAGCGGGGGATGTTCGGATTTGCTTACTAGGTCGAGACAGAGTTCACAGACTGACGGAAAACTTTCCCATTATATCACAGATTGCAATTAATAATTCGCTCATATGAGAAGTTCGATCCCACAAGTGGACCACACAAGTGGTCCTCAAGCTTACAATGTTGGGACAGAGTTCACAAAGTGGTGGAAAACTTTCCCATTCCATCACAGGTTACAATTAATAATTCCTTCATATGACAAGTTGGATCACACAAGTGAACCACAAGTGGTCCACAAGCTTACGATGTTGGGACAGAGTTCACAGAGTGGTGGAAAACTGTCTCATTCTATCTACAATTAATAATTCCTTCATAAGCCAAGTTGGATCACACAAATGGACCACACAACAAGTGAACCATATGAATCAAACACAAGCCAGAATGGTTCACTCAATAAGTAAAGCATATTAACCAAACACCAGCCAGAGTGGTCCACACAAGTGAACGACTGAGTTTCAATGACTTTCGTTCACTGATTTGTGGCACACGCATCTTTGTAAATTAATTTAAAGGCTGAAGCGTGAATAGCTAGCTAATGTGTTGAAAATCTTCTTATATACATTTTCTGTTATGAAAGAAGATGAGTGAGGGTGAACAGATAAGGGAATACTGTACTGTAAACCTCATTTTACAGTGAGGTTTCACTCACTTTCGTCTGTGTCGTTATAGTTCAGTAACCCATGACTTTGAACGTTTCAGATTAATAAATCATTTCTAAAACTGGTGTTTTAATTACTTTATTATCCTAATTAAACTAAACTAAAGAAAACCAAAAATATACTGTAACATGATAGATATCTCCTATTTGAGAAATTATTCATGTTATTGGCAGCTCACAAGTCCAGTGCGAGTGGACAGGTCTAATCCGTGTGCACACACTATGCTTGTTTTGTTCGATTTCGTCGCTATAGTTCAGTGACCTACGGCTTCAAAATAATAAAATGAATAAATTGGTTCTAAAATAAGTATTTTTTATAGCTCTTATTATCGTAATAATGTTGCTAAACTAAATATATAACCCAAAATTATATAATTTGATGTAAATCGAATATTTGAGAGAAATTTATGTTACTGGATCTGGCTTAAACACCAGCCTACTGTAGGGTGTACGTATAAACCTAGTCTGCGTTCGTACAGTATGCGCCCAATGCCAATAGTTTTGTCTGCGATTAACATACAGTATTTAACTGCCGGTGGAAAAATAATTGTGGAATTTACCATTTTTGGACTACAGCTGTATTGTTATACAACAAAATGTCTCAGGGGCTTACTAATAGTGCCTTATTAATGCCAAAAATGAAGCAATATTTTGCAAGAACTTGTAGCAGAAAATCAACCAGCACGAGAACAGCTGTACCCAGCATGAGAACAGCTGTACCCAGCACGAGAACAGCTGTACCCAGCACGAGAACAGCCGTACCCAGCACGAGAACAGCCATGCCCAGCACGAGAACAGCCATGCCCAGCACGAGAACAGCCATACCCAGCACGAGAACAGCCATACCCAGCACGAGAACAGCCATACCCAGCACGAGAACAGCCATACCCAGCACGAGAACAGCCGTACCCAGCACGAGAACAGCCATGCCCAGCACGAGAACAGCCATACCCAGCACAAGCACAGTTGTACCCAGCACTGGTACAACAGCCATACCCAGCACTGGTACAACAGCAGCCAGCACCAGCTCAGAAGCAGCTGAAGCCACAACAGCAGCAAGCACCAGCAAAGCTGATGCAAACATCTAAAAACATTGTATGTGATGTGAACAGACAGAACAAGTGTTAAATTTAAGTGTGTACATAGTGTTAAAATTAAAGTTGCAGTAATTTTAGTGTACAATAGTTTTCATAAACTGTATTGTAGTACTCAACATACAGCAGAACTACTTAATCAACACAGTGTTAACGGTACAGGCATACCTCAGTTTAACCACCGTGCTGCGCGGAGTTTATTGAGAAATTTCCCCAGTGCGCATGAAATGAAGTGTTCCCAAAAAATTCTTTTTTCTTCGTAAAATGGTAAATTCCCTTCCCTGAACATGTCTATGTAAAAATAAGTACCAATTTCCACTTACTTTGGCTGTAGGGACGTGGACAAGATGCGCTGTGACGTCATCAGGGCCTGGTCGCCCATGCGTGACTCGCCCAGATACGGTCGCGCGGGCTATTCAAGCACCGGGTGTTGCCACAAATATATTTTAAATTATTTGCTTTATGTATTTCCAATGCGGTTTTATTTGTTTTTTTTATCGTATATGATGCATATTTGTGTCCTTTACAGTATGTATACAGTAGAACGTTCATAATGTTCCATGGAACTGTGATACATTGTCAGTAATGTGTCCACAATAAATGTTTATTGTCACAATATTACTTGTTAAAAAATCACTAAAATTACAATATGTACAGTTTCACACTGTATTACACACTCAGTACTTCGGAAGTGAGTAATAATCAACGAAGTAGCCCATGGTACACAGCGCGACTTCGCTCTCAGTGCACCAGGTTCAGATAAATTTTCGCTTCCTGTTTCTTCATTCTGTGTGCTTGCAAATAACGCACTTGTAACAGTGCAAGTATTTTGCACTCTTTCATGTATAATTGCGAATCATAATTGTGAGTTGTAATTGTGTGTGTGTGTATGCGTATGTGCGTGTTTGGATGGTGCGAGATGGTAGTGGAAGAGTGAGCCGGCCTGGCTTGTGCTGACGGGAGTACTATTGAACAAAGAGGGCCTTGTGTACTGCAGGACCTGCCTGGGTCCTATAAGGGTTAGTTTTGCTTCTCAGGCCTTATTTGGGCATGAGGAAGAGAGTACACAGCTTCCCCCACGTTGGGGATGGCTGGTAGGTTCAGTTAGCAACCGCCTTGCACAGAGAGAGGGTGACCGGCCAGCTTCCTCACCCTGACGGGTGACACTCCAGGCACCCTCAGGGTGTATCCGTCTGAGTTGTGAGGTAAGAGTGTCAGTAATGCATTGTCTTGATTGGGTGTCTTAGTGTTGACGAGCTAGTGGAGTCTGAACCATTTAGCCATGTATGGTGTGGGCATGTATGGAGTGGGTGATCCCCCCCCCTTTTTAATTTGGTCAATATTGTGTTAAATAGTAGGATGTCAAAGAGTTAATTGGAATAATTTGAGAAAATTGGATTCAATAAATATCGGTGTAGAATAACAAACTTGACTTTTGTTTAGTCCTCTTTTTGAATCAATGTCCCCACAAGTAAGAGTTAAGGCTAGAGAGATATCTAGATGAAAAAGTGAGAGATAACTAAATTAAGCAGTGTTCCTGTCGCATTGTTTAAGTGGAAGTGAATTTAGATTCAATGACAGGTGGTGGCAGCAAACAACAGAACATCTTAGAATAATAACATCATAGAGTATAGATAGA